GGGGGGGGGGGGGGGGGGGGGGGGGGGGGGGGGGGGGTTTACCACCACATAGATGGTCTTAAAAAATGACGCGGAAAAAATGAAAAGTCCAACTACAAGGTCACCACTCTCGTGATGGCCTTGTAGTTGGACTTTTCCGATGAGACAACCAATCCCTCTACGATTCGTTCATTCTTTTTGATGATAATCTGATTATCGCATGATTGTAGCATGGAAGTAATATGAAGAACGTAGAAAAGAAGGCAAGAATAGAACGAACTATGTAATGCAAGATGTAGAAATATTGCTGCTGCAGGAAAAATAAGTACGAGAGAGTTAAGACATTTCGGTCCATGACGTCATATAAGTCTTAGCACTGGGGCATATCAGTGAATTAAATCTTCCACACAATCTCAGTTCTTAAAAACCGTAGGAGCCATCAAAAAACCTTTCCCAATTGAATATGTGCTTGTATCTATGATACTTCTAATTACTGCACTTTTCAGTAAAAGTGAATTATGGCGGTGTGGAGTCCGCTAATTTTAACAAATATTTTTTTGCTTTAAAATTTGAGGGAAAAAACAAACCAACCGATAGAGAAGTACCACATTGGTGATTGCTAGTGAGACGATCACAACAAATGTAACCAGTGTGATATACCACGTCATTTTCCAGGCAGTGGAGAAATGCCAGTACAGCAAATAGGCGCTCACAGCTAAGCGAAAAATAATAAATGTTACAATATTTAGTAATGCAATAATACGGAATGCTGTTGATGTTTTATTCACGCGATACAGATTGAGCATGGAGCGTGAATGGAGGAAAATACTGTTCAGCTCCATCAGCAAACCGCAAAGCACAACACCTGAAAAAAAATAAAAATCTGAATCAAATTAGACGAAGCAGGAACTGAAATCCCTCACATCCTCAAATGCTTACTTTTAAATAATATGAACAAAAGTTACACTCATTTTCAAGTGTCACTCATTTTTTTTTGAGTCATAATGTTTTGGAAATTTTTCAAAAAAAAGATGTAAACTATGAAAGTTTGTTTGGCACTAAAAGGCCCGCCGATGAGAGCGACACAGTCGAATATTGTCAGTTGCAGGAAAGCAGGGAGTGCTAATTTAGATACCTAGATAAGCGAGCCTGTATGTGCTTTAGCTTTTTCCTTCTGTGTTTCTGTGTTTCATCCCTAAACTGTAACACCCTAATATCAAATAACCCAAACGGACCCTGCTTTCCCACAATTGACAATATTCGACTGTGTCCCTCTCATCGGCGGGCCTTTAGTGCCAAACAAACTTTCATAGTTTACATTTTTTTTGGCAAGAAGCTGCCTGTATAAAGCCGCTAGTTTCGTGCTAAAATACTGTTGTGTTGTGCTGACAGCCCAGGCGACCAACGAACAACACGGACCCTCCTAGCTCGAATCATCACCAAGGAATCGACGACCCAGCCAACTAACTATCCGAAGAGGCACCGAGGCACCAGGCCAATGGACGAGACCTGCAAAGCCTCAGCCTAACAATAATAAAATTCAAGCCACTCATTTTACTCATTCTCAAGTTATTCATTTTCTGATTCATAATAAAATTTGATGGGCCGAACACACACGAATTTATCCTTTTTGATGAGTCAACGTATTGTACCGTTACACAGTATAAAATGTCTGCCCTGCTAACAGCTGGTGATTCACATATCAACAAAGTCGCTGAGGCACAAGGAACTCTTTTTTTGCAAAAGAGGGGCGACTCAGCGGGGAACCGAACCTTGAACTTTCACAACTTCCAGTCCTTCGAATCATGACGTGTTATCCACTACACTACCGACTCTTGTTACTACTAATTGGAGCATTTATATCTGTATATGTGCCACTCACATACCATGCTGCGACACTCAGTGCAGCCATCACAAGTAGCACACACTTTTTAAAAACTCATCTTTCCCAGAGCATAAGCGGACCCAGGGCCCCCTGAGTAGGGGGGGGGGGCACTAGTGCGTGGAGAAGGGGAGTGCGGAAGAGAGTTTTCTTGAGTTTTAGCTTTAGACCCAGACTTTTGTAGCATTGGTGCCTGTGCCGCTTGGGCGATGGGGGAAGGCGGATTCATCGCCCTTCCGCCTCTGTTCGAGAACATACAAAACAGTGCCCACGCAAAAGTAAATGACATGTCAAATACCCTCCTAAAAAACGGTGCACATACAATGTACAGACACATAACTCATAGTTGAAGGGACTGTACGGTTATGCCTGGCATGTGGGAGCATCCCAGTAACATCACTAACATCGAGTCTCTATACCTATTTATATAGATGACAAATCCCAACTTCCTTAAATATCCTTTGTCATCAGCACTTTAAAAAACCTGC